CTCAATACAATAATTCCTGATAAACAGTCAGCTTCCAAAGTTTTGGTATATAGTTCAACATTACATCTACTTACATACATTAACAGACTATTCCAAAAAGGTATCAGACAATCACATGACCATATCATATGAGTCACTGAACCCTCAAATTTTTTACACTTCCAACACTGAAAATCTGATGTCCATCCTTTCAGATACATCCTTTGAGGAGTCCAAAACGTCCTAATACATTTTTCAGTGAATCAACTTTAATCTCAGATGTGTAGATATCATTTTTAACATTTTTTAAAAAGTGAATCCATTGATGGAGCAGTACTGGATATTCCAGTTCTTTAGTCCATGTTTGGAATATCCCAGAGATGTCCACTTTTAAAGTGCCCTTGAGCTTTTGAAATATATGTGATCTAGTTTTATTTCTATCATGGATTCTATCAAGTAAGAGAACATCTTAGGTGCCTACTTGTGCTCTCATTCATGACTACTCCTCTCTACACCTGTCCATCCTCCAAATATGTTTGATGGGCATTGCAGTCTGGACAGCAAGAGATTGGGAGAAGCTGTTCTACATATTGCCTTGCAGGATGGTTGTGTCTCACTTGTTTCACCTTTGCTGCAAAGTATTGGGAAGAAATTTCACCATGGATAATGTTTCCTGCCCTTCTCCAAGCATTTTTAATAATTAAGAGATTAGGCTGCCAACAAGAAAGAAACAAGGCCTTTCATATTGTCTTTGATTTGTACACTCTTGCTCCTTCTTGGGGCAGTGTGTGCGTGTGTGTGCATATGTGTGTCTCATTCCCATAAACCCCAACACCTCTTTATCAGAAAGTATAACAGCCAGGCCAAGACTAGAATCGTGTATGGAATACCAACGACACAGGACTAAAAATATGAGAATACTATTCACATCCATCACGGCATGACAATGGGGGCAGGAAATTGTATTCATTCAACTGTGCTGCTGGAGTCAAAGGCCGCTGGCAAGCAAGGACAGGTTCTAAAAATAGTGATGAATCTTAAAGCAGTAACATGGAACTCACTAAATCATTTCCAAATGTTCTAGCAAGCTCCTCTACTAAAACAGTTCAGAGAAGCACATGGAGCATTAGGCCGTTAAATTTATCAAGACAGCATCCTAGTCCACCTTTCCTTGTTTTAGCAAAAGCAATAAATAGATGTAGATGTAGATAGATATACTGTAGATATAGATATAGAGCCATACACATATCCACATCTATCTATTCCAAGGTGCAGAGAAGAACAAAGCTATCATGGCATCTGAAATTATCTGCAATCTCTAGGTGGTGGTTGAAACAAAAGTTAAAAGTTATATTTTTGCTACTCTGTCCATCTCAGCTGAGGACTTTGGGGTCAGTTTTCAGAAAACAAGAAACTAATAGTTTGGTTTCTTAGCTGGCCTATAGATAGCTGCTTCAACTAACTTTAATAGGGCACTTTGTCTATTGGATCAAGAGGATCCATTAGTTGCTGATAGTACTGGCAACATCATTTTGTGATGCCGTATGAGGTGAATGGAAAGCGTGACTTGAGGAAGTCCTCAGAGAAGTGAAAAGGATTCGCCCGTTTGCCTGTTACCCAGACCCACCTTTTTCTTAACCACTCCTATGTTTGGTGTTTGCTTCAAGCCAACTATTTGATACTTAACCAAAACAACAGGGAACAGTCTTGTTATACTGTTATATTTCTGTGTGGGTGGGTGGGTGTGTATACACAGAGAGAGAGAGAGAGAGGACTGTATGAACCCCTTTTTTCCCTTGTTGGAACCCCCTCCAACACGTTTCCTGCCATTTGACATGGGAAACAGATGAAAGCTCTAAAACAGATATCTCACATTTAGAATAACTACCCTAACAAACAAAACTATGCCAAAACCTAGTCCTGGGTACACATGTGATATGATTCTGCCCATTCAGCTCCTCTCCAGAAGTCACCAACTCCTGATTATAAACA